ATGTTGTAAATAATGTACCCTCGAAACTGAGTGTAATCGAACTCGAGGGTCTTTAGAAGATAACCCTTCTCGACTTAAGCTATACTGCAAACGATGCGCTTTGGAGCTGAGTGTAGTCGAACTCGAATGTCTTTGGTTGGTAGATAACCCTTCTCGACTTAAGTTATGCTGTAAATGATGGTGCCTTTGAGCTGAGTATAATCGAACTCAAAGGTCTTTGGCAGATAGCCCTTCTCGACTTAAGCTATGCTACAAATGATGTGCATTGGAGTTGAGCGTAATCGAACTCGAAGGTCTTTGGTTAGTAGATAACCCTTTTCGACTTAAGTTATGCTAAAAATGTTGGTGCCTTTGAGCTGAGTGTAATCGAACTCGAAGGTCTTTGGCAAATAGTCCTTCTCGACTTAAGCTATGCTGCAAATGATGTGCCTTAGAGCTGAGCTTAGTCGAACTCAAAGGTCTTTGGTGACAGATAACCCTTCTAGCCTTGAGTTATGCTGTAAATAATGTGCCCTCGAAGCTGAGCGTAGTCGAACTCGAGGGTCTTTGGCAGATAGCCCTTCTCGACTTAAGCTATGCTGTAAATGATGTGCCTTGGAGCTGAGCGTAGTCGAACTCAAAGCTCTTTGGTTGGCAGATAACCCTTCTCGACTTAAGTTATGCTACAAATGATATGCCTTAGAGCTGAGCGTAGTCGAACTCGAAGGTCTTTTGGAGACAGATAACCCTTCTAGCCTTGAGTTATGCTGTAAATTTGATATGCCTCTGAGCTGAATGCAATCGAACTCGAAGGTCTTTGCGTTTCAAGAGAAACACTTTCAAAGGTTTTTTTTTCAAGTGAAACACTTTCAAAGGTTGGTGTTTCAATGAAACTGTCTCAAAACTTGTTTCAAGGGGAACTGATTCAAATATTTTGTGTTTCAAGGGAAATATTTTCAAAGTTTATGCTTCAAGAGAAACTGTCTCAAGGGAGACAAAATATGCTTCAAGAGAAACTGTCTCAAGGGAGACAAAAATTGTTTCAAGGGAAACTATCTCAAGAGAGACAAAATTCATTTCAAGGGAAATGTTTTCAATGTTTATGTTTCAAGAGAAACTATCTCAAGAGAGACAAAACTTAGTTCCAAAAGAAAATGTCTCAAGGGAGACGAAATTTGTTTCAATGAAAAGATATTCAAAGATTTTGTTTCAAGGGAAACTGTCTCAAGAGAGACAATGGTGAGCACGATTCCCTTTGTCGTGAAGTTAAAACCGTGGATGGCCCATTCGTTGTGAAGTTGAGCCTTGGAATTGGATATCCTTCGTCGTGAAGTTGAAATCCAAGTAAGTTGTATTGTTCTGAGTCCAATATCCTCCGTCGTGAAGTTAAAATTGACTCTGGAACTGGGAAATCGTTTGTTGCCAACCAGCTGTCCCTTCACTATGAAGTTAAACTTGTGTTGTCTCGAGTCCAATATCCTTCATTGTGAAGTTGAAATTGGTTTTGAAACTGGGAAATTGTTTGTTGACAACCAGTCATCCCTTCGCTGTGAAGTTGAACTTGTGTTGTCTCGAGTCCAATATCCTTCGTTGTGAAGTTGAAATTGGCTATGAAATTGGGAAGCCCTTTCGTCGTAAAGTTGAGCCTCAAATGGAACGATATCCTCCATCGTGGAGTTAAAATCGTGGATGTGTGGGTACGATATCCTCCGTCGTGAAGTTGAAATTACGGATGGCCCATTCGTCGTGAAGTTGAGCCTTGACTTGGATATCCTTCGTCGTGAAGTTGAAATCCAAGTATTGTATGTTGCGGGTGGACACGATTCCCTTCGCCGTAAAGTTGAAACCATGGATGACCCCTTTATTGTGAAGTTTGGCCTCAAGCTAGATATCCTTCGTCGTGAAAGTCTTTACTGGTGCAGTCCAGTACAACAAACAACATTGTTTTTAAAGCAAAAAAAACACGGACAGCTGGAGGAACGGTGAGTTCGACTTCGTGACTGTATCCTAGTTTCAGAAATAAAAGTCTTCCCTCGGCTTCAGATCTGGCTTTGTAGCCGACTCCAACGATTTTAAGAAACCGAAAGAATTTTAGCTTCCATGACGATCGAATGCAACAACCTTATTCAAGTTCAGAAATCCTTCGTTGGACGCTGATTTGCCCGAAGTTGAAAGGTTCGCTCACCGTCTTAGTGTTTTGCTTCTCATTTTAACAGATTATTCTCTCACAAGCGTATCCTCTTTTTTCTGTATATTTTTTCTCCGTATTTCGTATGTTTCCCTGGTAATTTCCGAATTTCTCATTGATTTTATTTTTGAATTTTTGTAGAGAAAAAAAAAGGAACTTCGTATGCTCTGAATATTTTTGAGATTTTGCTCGTATATTTCTTGTATTTCCACTGTAAAATCGTGTACAACCTCCCCCGTTCAATGTATCGATTATAACGTATTTATAATAAAAAGCAGGCTATTTTTAGAGTTCCCTAATGACACTAAACTTGCTTGGTTTGTTGGTGAGTGGGTTGTTGTTATTACCGAGGAAATCGCCGGGAAAATCGGCGTCAGTTGACCGAGCGGTTGAGGGCTCTTCGAAGGTTGCTACCCTGTGGAGACGGGTCATTGTTGGCCACTGCTGATTTAAGTGGGCTTTTGGGACTTGGTCTTTGTAATAGACCTGTAACATGTAAATATAATAAACGTAAATAATTATATAATATAATTATATAATATAATAATAATAAAAACGGACGAAATTAGGTGTCTTCAGAAGCTTAATTCAAAATTAGATGAATAATTGGACAAGTCACTACAGGACCCTAGTTTCTATATAAACAAAGTAGAATAAGAAATATTTATATTTTTGTTTACAAAAAAAATATATTTATATTGGCATATATACGATACTCGTTTTTGGATTTGGAGACAATCGAGGATAGTTATTTCTCTGAAATTTTCAAATTATTTTATATTTGAGATATTTTTTATTAATAATTTATTTTTATTTCTTAAAATTTTATAGATTCGTGTGTATGCGAATCATATTGAAAAAGTAAACGTTCATTAACGACACTTTAATTTCACATTCTCACTCTATATTACTTTAATTGTTCTCTCACTCTATAATTACTTTAATCCCGTTTAGGACATTTCTAATTTTTAACTTAATTTCACATTCTCACTCTATATTACTTTAATTGTTCTCTCACCTCTGACAGTGTAATTAAGAAGTTTTTTTTTCACACATTATCACTTAATTCTATTATATTATATTTTTTATTGGGTACAAATATTTGAAAATGAACCTAATTCTATTAATTTTATTGTCTTACAGGTTCATGTATAAAAAATATTATGAGGAGTCAAACAAGAGGAACGTGGGATCTACACAAGTGCAGCTTGCATGGATGCCAACCTATCACGCGCCGAGCCGGTGGTCTGGTCAGCTCATATCCCTTGTTGATCTTATTAGTGTGAACTGACCTCACTGCCCTTGACGATATTATGATATATATTTTTTTTTGAAATAACTTCGTTTGATGATATTGTCACGGGCTAGAAACTTGGGTCCGAGACATTGGTGTAAGCGGTCGACCAAGAGGTTTAATACTGAGAATCGGACTTACCGTGACCATCAGACTTAGCCAATTCTTGGAGAATGCTTAACAAGCCCGTGAAGGAACTATTCCGAGGCGTCCGAGAGAAGCGACGAGGGCGATGGGGGCAGTGTTGTCGAGGCTCGTGGATTCGAACCGAGACAGGCGAACAGATATCTGTAAGAGAATTATACAGACTATTGGGCTTGCCCAGAACCATCAGATCTGGCCGTTCCTTGGAGGATTCTATAAGGATAAGGTTAGGTGGGATTTCCTTGATTTAAGGGATTGGGTTAGGTGGGAATCAATCCTAGCCCTTCATGTAAAACGATCTTAGCCATCGATTGAAAGGGAGCTCCCCTATAAATAGAGAGCTCTCCTCCTCATTTGTATTACTCTGAGGCATTTGCTCTATTCTTTCTGAGTTCTTTAGTTCTTTGTTCTTGTTGCCTATCTTGGTGGCCAAGAGTAGCCACCTTCGTGTTAGCACTTCCACACGATAGTCCGACCTTGTGGCTCGGAGTAGCCACGTTGGTGTTTTAAAGCTTCCGCAATCCGAAGCCTTGAGGGCTTGGTTCAAACCTTTGTGAGTTTGCACACTCACTTAGCTTGGGTAAGACTTACTTAGTCGCCGAGAAGACCGAGGAGCGTCTAAAGCGTCTAAGGCCGCACGACCCGTCAGGCCTTGACTCTGATATTCCGACGGTGTGAGGCGTCGAAGTTCTGGGGGCGTGACAATATTATGAATGCTTGTGCTAAATTGGGACATAAGTAGAGATGAATCTAGAGGAGGAGACAATTTTATCATAATACCATTTAAAAATAGTTAATTATCAAAATAATATTTATTGATGATTATCTTCGATCTAGCATCTATTTTTGTTATATAAGTAGTCTCGCAAGAAATGTTTTTTTTGTTGATCCGGCAAAAATGTGTTCTACAATAAACATTTTTAGTTGATCTCAGTTAAAATGGTAAATAATCTTTTTGATTATATTCGAGTAAAACAACCTCTAAAAGAGGGAGGTGGGGATGGTTGTCCGTTAAAAATTTTAAATTCTTATATATTTTAGATATATTTTTTTATATTTTTATTAAAAATATGTTTTCACCCCTACTAAAATTTAATAAATTCTCTCCTATTTAAATTTTATAAGTTCATTCCTTTATCGTAAAATCTTGCTTACATTGCTTGAACATGAATGCAAACTGAAACATTAGTTTGCTTAATATGAATTAAAGTTAGTACGATATTTGATTAACATATATAGAATATTAGTTGGCCGCCTTTCATCAATTCGATCCCAATGGTAATTTAGTTATTAAAAAATCATGAAATATGTGGAGCAATCCCATTCAACCGTTATAAATACCCCTTTTAATCTCCATTCTCTTCAGAACTAAGACTTGGAGTTTCGTTAAAGTTTCTTTTTTTGGGAGTTGATCAGTAGATAATGGGGGGCTCTTCGCCATGTGCGTCTTGCAAACTGCTGAGGCGTCGATGCGCCAAGGACTGCATCTTTGCTCCTTACTTCCCTTCCGAAGATCCTCATAAGTTCGCCATTGTTCATAAAGTCTTTGGTGCAAGCAATGTTAGCAAAATGTTGCAGGTTTCTCTCACCTCTCTTTTCTTCTTTAAATTTCTTATCTTCATTTTATGATTTATGTTTGAAAGTTATGATGCATGTTTTGTTATAGGAGCTCCCGATTGAGCAGAGGGCGGATGCTGTAAGCAGCTTAGTTTATGAAGCAAACGCAAGAGTGAGGGACCCGGTGTATGGATGCTTAGGTGCCATATCCTACCTTCAAAATCAAGTTTCACACTTACAAATGCAGCTGGCGGCGGCTCAGACCGAGATACTTTGCATTCAGATGCAGCACGAGTCAACTCAGATCGATATACACCAACCCACTAATAATAACTTAGATACCATCTCCCGATACCTTAACTTTTCTTCTTCTACCAATGTAATCCAAGGCCCTGTACCTCTCAAGAGAGAGTCTCTTTGGATTTGAACAAAAAATCTTTTAATTATCATCTCCTTTTGCCTTTCTATTGCGAAGAAAATCATCGACCATGGTAGTTTGTCTTTATACCATTAGAATTTAGAAATGGGGTTTGACTACCAACATTTGGGGTGCTAATAAGACCTTAAACATGGCGTTAAATTAAAGTCAAAAATTAAGAAAACCTCATTAACAAGTGTGTGTATTCTTTAGGTGGGAAAAGGGAAGATCAATTATGATCCATAGGGTCAAACTCTGCATGTGAGGTACCGATAATTTTAGGGTTTGGACTTTATAAAGCTCCTCTTCTTTCTTGACAAAGACGCCATAACTAATAACCTACGATTCTTCGAGTGAGGAGGGGCTTTCTTTATGGGGAAAGCTTAGATATTTAATACTAGATGATATATATATATATATATAGGGTGAATTCACGGGATAATGTTCTCGATTTTTTTTTCACGATATGGTGCACATCCCAGATTAATTGTTGAAATGGGGTGAATTCTACAGTGATGCCATAGGACGCCATGCAATCCAGGCGATCTTGTAGGACGCCATGCAATCCAGGCGATCTTGTAGGACGCCATGCAATCCAGGCGACATACGGGAACATACGAGCCAATGGTTCTCCCCATGCATACGAGCCATACGAGCCAATGGTTCTCCCCATGCATACGAGCCATACGAGTGCGAGCCATGCGAGGTGGCCATGCAGTGGAATAGAGAGGTCGTTCTCCCCATGCGAGGTCCCCATGCATACGAGCCATACGAGTGCGAGCCATGCGAGGTGGCCATGCAGTGGAATAGAGAGGTCGTTCTCCCCATGCGAGGTGGCCATGCAGTGGAATAGAGAGGTCGCCATGCAGCCTAGGCGACCTTGTCTAAAGTACGTCTCTTTCACCACACTCGCTATTGGGAGATGGCGTGTACCTTTTAGTACCGAATTAATGGCCTCAACAAGGTTTGTGGTCATATGTCCGTATCTCCGACCTTCATCGTATGCTTGCGACCATTTTTCCCGCGGTATTTTTGAAGCCCACTTCCAAACACGCTGATCATCGTAAAATACCTTCAAATTCTCCAATCTCTTGTCAAAATTTGGTCGACGTAGTTCGTATCCTGTTCCATAATATATTGTGTTAAACCGCAATTAAAAAAACCACGTAAAAAATACACAAATATTGAAAATAAAACTTACCCATGCTGACTATCTCGCTACGAATATGTGCGTTATGAAACTGGTCGATACTATTCTTGCCAATATGACGGATACAAAATGTCGGATATGCATACGGAGGTATCCAACGACTTCCTGGTCGTTCAATTGCCGCCAAAATACCCGTTCCTCTATCGGATATCAAGCAAACTCCATCTTCACGAACGACATATTGACGTAGATTGGTCAGAAAGAAATCCCAAGCCTCTGTTGTCTCTCCCTCAACAATGGCGAATGCAATTGGGAAGATATTTCGCTCACCATCTTGAGCAACTGCCATCAAAAGTACATGCCTATATTGACCATACAACCACGTACCATCTACTTGGATCATACGTTTGCAAAATGGAAATCCTTCAATACATGCCTTGAATGCCCAAAATAGTCTATGAAATATTTTCTTCCCTTGCAGAAGTTGACCTTCTTCGTCATATGGGCATGGTTTGAGACTTCACTATAGTTCCTGGGATAAATCGCTTCATTGCTTGTAGCAAATGTGGTAGCTCATTGTACGATGTATCCCAATCTCCATACGTCAACTTCATTGCCTTCATTTTCGCATTCCACACCTTGCCATATTTTACTTGATATCCAAATTGGCTTCGAATAGATGCAGCTAACACTGAACAAGATATCCTTGGATCCTTTTCAACCATCGCCTTCACGTATTCACATATTACATCGGAGTCCAATAGTCGGTGGTCTTGTTCGATGGAGTTTCGCAAACATGTGTGCGAACCATTGTACCTCGTGATGACCCAAACATCGTGCCTTTGATTTTTCGACACTCTGATCTTCCACTTGCACTCTGGGCCATATTTTACACACTTTGCGTATAGGGTTTTCTGGTTGGACTCTGCAACATGGACATCAACATGGCATTTGATGCAGTACTCTTTAATAGCCAGCGTAGCTTCATTTTTTCCTCTGAATTGCACCCCAACTGAAAATTCACCAGAATTATCGAATGATTCAGTCATTTGGTACGGAGGTAAATGTGGCATGTCTGGGAATTCAGGTGCCCTCATTGCATCATAATCTATCTCGTACATGTGAGGAGTAGCTTCATACGGTGTCGGAACTTCATCAATTGCACCTCCACCAAAAATATTTTCGTCGCCGCCCAAAACGGGTTCTTCAGTTTCTTCATCTTCGCTTGAATCATCATGAATTTCTCCCCATCGATTTTCAGCGTCAATATCAACAACCAATTCCGGTATGTTTCTCGTCTCATACTCTGCTGCTATAGATGTCCCCCCGACTTCATTTACACTTTCCAATAGTGCCATAAAACTGTTCGGGAACCTGTATGTCGGCTCCTCAAACTGACTATAAAGCCATTTCAGATGGATTTTGAGCCACAACTCTTGATGACCCAGGAACATCACATATGTTACGCACATCAACAAATAATTCAATAACTGCTATATTGGTTGACTCATGTAATCCAACCATGGTTCCAATATCATCATCTTCTTCAAGTGGAACTGCAGCATATCTGACTGGGTTAGAGCATATCATAAACCTATACCTCAAACCATCCACTGCAGCTCGAATTTTTCTTTCTATCTTATGCTTCATTTCTATAAATATGATGTCTTTTTTGAACATCATATTTATTGGTTTTTCAGACTGAAAAACTACTCCGACCTCATTTTCCATAATCTGTCCATTATAATGGACAATCGTGAAAAAGTTGTTGCTCATTTTCTCTACAAATAAAAAAATAAATTAATTTAGATTAAAAAATTAGATAAGATAATTTCATAAATTATTAAATATAATATAATATTATATTAATGATCAAATAAAAGTTATTATTTAACTTGATTGATTGCTTACTAATAAACCTAATAATGATTTGATAATTACTATTAATCTAATGATTTGATATTTAATGATTTAATAATAATATGATTTAGTCATAATCACTAATAATTATTTATTATAAATATTTAATGATTTAGATTTGATACTAATCATTTAGTAATTATTACTAATAATAATGATTAGTTTGATAATATTTTTTTAAAAATATCAAACAAATTTGTTAGGCAAAACTGTCGAGATAATGTTCTCAAAATAATTATTTCGCGAGATAATGCGTTGTCCGGATTATTTCATTCAATTAATTTTTACTTCTTACTAATATACACATACAATGTAAATTAAACAAAATATTTTTAAAACAACACTAAATATTTTAAACACAATATTTTTTAAAACGGAAATTATCTCGCACAAATTAGTTTATATAAATCTAATATAAACTTACTAACTAACTAATTTACACATACACAACAACAAAAATGGACAACAAAAAATAATAAATTACTCACGTCTTTATGCCTTCTTCCTTTACTTTCTTTTCCTGCCTTGTTTCTTTCTTCGAATCAATCTGTACGTGGGCAAATATTGTAAAATAATGTCATGTATGTGTAAACAAAATATTTATTTAAACAACAATAGCTCCCACAAATTAATTTTATATAATCTAATATATTATAATATACCTTAAAGTAATAAACTATTTCTTTATTATAATATAACTTAGTTAAAATAACAAACTAATTAAGCACTAATTAATTTTATTATAATATAACTTCAACTTCAACGAACAACCTAATATACGTTTAAAGACACTAACAAATTAATTAATATTTTTATATTTAATAACTTAAACTAAGAAACTAATTAACTAATTTTTATATAAATAATATATAACTTAAACTAATAAACTAATATAATATAACTTAAACTTACAAACTAATAATTTATACTAACAAACTAATTAACTAGATTTTAGTTTTAAGTTGCACCCGAAACTAACAAACTAATAATTTCATATAATAAACTAAATTAAACAATAAAAAAATTACCTCAACTATGTTTGAGCCTTTATCTTCTTTTCTTCTTCTTCCTTTTATTTCTCTCGGCAAAATTTATATGTGCTGGTTCTGCTTGTGCTTCTACCCTATACCCCATATCCTTTATATAAAACAACTGAGCGTTAACTATTGAGCATTGAAAGGCTCACAGCTAAATTAACGCTGCAATAACGTAATTATAGATGCAACACATACAGGTACGGGTGCAGGAATCTCTGAGCTATGAGCTATGATGCAACGCATGCATGCAAGCTATGAGCTATGATGCAACGCATGCATGCAGCAGGACCTTGGTCGCCGAGACTCCATGGCGACCACCGTGACCTACAGTTTGCCGTGCATATCCATGCACAGTTCCCACGTCCAATGCACCATCCCCTCCCCCATGCATTCCCACCCCATGCATTCCCACGTCCCATGCATCCCCTCCCCCATGCATTCCCACATCCCATGTTGATCCCTCCCCATGCATTCCCACCCCATGCATCCCCTCCCCCATGCATTCCCACGTCCCATGTTGATTGCATGCATCCCCTCCCCCATGCATTCCCACGTCCCATGTTGATTGCATGTCCCATGTTGATTGCATGGCCCTATTCTGTAATACACACAGGTCGCCCGGATGCCATGGCGACCTCCAAGGTCGCCCGGATGCCATGGCGACCTCCAAGACCACTGTAGAATTCACCCCATTCCAGCAATTAATCTGGGATGTGCACCATATCGTGAAAAAAAAAATCGAGAACATTATCTCGTGAATTCACCCTATATATATATATATATTTACCAGCTGCTCATTCATTTCAAATCGGTGAAATGTTGTACAATTAAAGGAGTGAGTAAGAAACCAAAGCAGCAAGTTTCTAATATTTTATGAGGTATGAAGTCATGTTTTTGAAGCTGGTTCAAGTTGCTTTAATTGCCTTGTTCATCTTCTATGCACTAGTTACTTTCACTACTTAAAGTTCTTCTGCAATTCAACACAAATAATGGAAGATTAATATCTCAGTTATTTAATTTAAAAAAGTAAAACTAAGCTAATTCAATTGAAAAGGAAGAAAATCTCAGAGTGATCACCAACCTATGAGCGTAAAAGGGTATGGGGCTCTTCCAAGAACTCAATGATGCAGCTGCATGACCAAGACCAGAAATTACGGTGGAGAGTTTGGCTTAACACAATCGAGGTGGAGGACTTACTGTCAGTAATATCATCAGTTTAACTGGCAATCAAAAGGTGTATACTTAGCAGTTTAACTCAATCAATTATGAAGATTGAGTCATTTCCTGCCCTGTTATTTTGTTAAATCCATCATCTGAGATGGCTTTTACTTTTTTGTTTTCTGGTTCATATACAGTGTAAGGTTTTGGTTTTTTTGTTGTTGTTATTTTCCTTGCGTAGCAATGTTCAAAAGATTATGGGCTACTGTTTCTTGTTGTACACTGTCAAGAGTTTATCATGTAAAAGATGAAGTCATATACTAGACAAAAAACAACATAGTACATGCTTTAAGCTGTTAAATTAGGAAGTTTAATGATAAAAAATACAATTTCTCATGCTAAAAAAATAAAGAAGATTATTGCGCATCTCCTGCAGAAGAGTGCTGATCAAACGGTAGTCTTTTTGTATTATTATTATATAAAATATTTTGTTGATTGACATTCAAACAGCACCAGTGGTCTAGTGGTAGAATAGTACCCTGCCACGGTACAGACCCGGGTTCGATTCCCGGCTGGTGCATCGTTGTTTTTCATTTTATTAGTTCCTACAATTTCTGCGTTTTCTTTAAAAAGTTGCTTTTGGTCCAGGGGCCTATCTTTCTGATTCTGATCTCTCTGTATTTGCTTCACAACGAACAATGAACGCCATGTCCACCTCTCCAATCGATCTTGCCGAAGGTATTATTTTAAACTTTTTGTTCAATTTTTATTAATGTTGTGTAAATTCCCCAGATTCAAAACGGTTCATCACCTATGCGCACAAAAATTATGCAGAGAGTAAAAATGGCAGTGACAGCGACTCCGATACCAATCACAATGACGCACCTGAATACTACCAGCCTATCTCAGCCGTGGATGATGACGATGACGATGCGGATCAAGAAGACTTGGATGATCAAGTCAACTCAGATGAAGAACACCAGCATCGTAACCTATCGAATGGCTATATTAATCGACTGGAAAACGGAATCTCGTTTCTTCATGTAGGCACCGTTGATGCGGAGCAAGACGAAGAAGAAGAAATTAGGAGGAGAGAGGCGTCTGATACAGCGATAAGGAGGGCGTTTAGGGAAGAGGAGAGCCGTAGAAACGCTCCGTTAACGCCAGAGAACGCTATGAGAGTCAGGGAAGCGATGCGTGGGGTTTCATTTGCTGGATTGACTCCTGACTGGTCCAATCAAATTCCTGAGGATCGGTGGATCGATCAGCTTCGGGGGCTGAGGCAACCTCAACGCCCTTCCAGTATTGTTTAGAAACTAATCAAGTTTTCGTTTATGATTCCGATTTTGGAAAAAAAATTATCTTTGTTCGATATTTCACTTTGAATCCCATTATGAGACAATGGGTGTTGCCGATCATTTGAGTTTGATTCCATAGATTTTGGTTTTTGAGTTTCTGGCAAATATTAGGATCGGGATTTCAAATCACGGTTTGAAAATGTAATTTATCCGCGAAATAACGATTTCGCCGCCGTCAGAGTTACCCGTTACACCGCAATATCGCCAAATAACACCCACGACAACCACAATCACGATAAACCCAAAATGAATGTGATTTAAAACCCTAGTTATGACTTATCCCATCTATTAGCACTCCGCTGGTTAGGTAGATTTTTTTGGGATCAATTTCGAGACTAAATATTCGAATTGAGTACATCAGATTTTACATGTCAAAAAGACTGATAATTAGGTGAGATGTAAGATTTTATATTAATGGAAGAAAACATATTATATCTAAACTATATAAGAATTTAAAATATTCTCAGTCTCTACCATTTGATCCATCCCTGTTGGCAACCTTGATAACTTTAACTATCCATTTTATTTTGAATTTGATTATACTATTGATATAGTTGATGACGCTATTAATTTGATGTCATAATAATAAAATCTTTATTCTCACACAAAATAACAAAAAGCTCTTCGTAATGTCAATCAGTCATTGCCTAAGTGATAAATTTGGAAATTCAGTCCTCCTAATGAACTTGCTGACGACATACACACCAACCATCATAACAGCTCAAAACTTCAACTCTCATTTTCTTGTTCGAATATGATGGCATTGGATAACTTGAGTAGCAACATCTAATGACCCCTCAAGCACCAATGTTCTCAATCTCTGCACTTTTATCCATCCTCTTCACAATGCCAGCTATGACCTGACACATGACCCAAACAAACTCGAAACGATGAGAAACTGAAAGACAATGAAAGAGAGAAGAAGATGCTAAAGCAGTCGTAAGATTTTAGTCTTTTACCTTTCCAGGCCCCAACTCGTAACTCTTTTTCAGCCCTTTGGTCAGCAAAGTTTTCACTGTTGTTTCCCATTGAACAGGAGAGGTCACCTGCAATTTCATCCACATGCTTAATCGCGCTATTCTTACCCCACGGGAGAGACAAAAAACAGTATTGAGCAGCTTACTTGGTGTGCTAGTATCTTCTTTATCGTCTCGGGATCTGCATGTGGCTGAGCATCAACATTTGATATAACAGGTATTCTTGGGGTTCTAATCTGGGTTGCTGCCAATGCAGCCTCCAATCTTGAGACTGCAGGATCCATGAAACTAGTGTGAAAAGCACCAGCAACAGCTAAACGCACCTGTGAAAGGGGAAAACTATGTTATTACTAGCAGTCGTATTATCACTAGATGGCCACGTTAGCACAACAAAATAAATTTAAGAATTTACAATCAATCAAGGTAAACACAAAAGGATCACATTTTTTGATAGAAAATGAAAAGGAGAATCACCGTCATCCGAGCCTTGAATGACTTTGCTTTTGCTTCCACTGCTTCTACTCCTTTGAGACCTCCAGAGACTGCATAATTTCCCTGCCAAAGGAAAAATACATTTTCAGTGCCAAAATTTGGTGCATATATGGTCTCCTAATAAGCATAAGACCAAGCACAACTCATTTGATCAACAAAGATAAATGAATTTCATATTCTTACAGGACACAGATAATTCGCAATTTGAACTTTATCAGCTACATCAACTTCTTGGTTGGCAGCATCACATAATTGCTGAACCTTCTCGGAGTCAAGTCCTATGATACTGACCATAGCACTTTTAGCAGCATCTGCGGCATCCTAATGGCAGAAAGAATGATGATCACCGACAGCATCAATAAAATCAGCCACACTACAAGGCACTATCAGATAGAAACAGATCATTACTTGCATTGCTTCTCCTCTTAGTTTCACAAGCTTGAGTCCATCTTCAAAGCTTTAGTACATGAAATCAAAATTCACAGGGGAAAGAGCGTCAGTCATATTTTTCTTCTTGTTTTAAATACTAACTCAAATAGTAGTAGACTGATGATGGAACCTCTATATGCTTTAAACATGGAAATACGACATCTTTGGATGATTTAATTAGTTATTATAAAGTGTTGAGTATACGCTCAAGATAATATTTCGGTAATTGGTGCTGAAAACACTCACCTAAAGGCCCCAGCAAATGCTAGTGCAGTATATTCTCCCAAGCTGAGGCCACATGTAACATCAACAGAGTCAATAATCTGCTGGCCTCCATCACGGGCACGAAGAAGCTCCACAGCAGCTAGACTTGTGACATAAATAGCAGGCTGCAAAGATTCAGAGTAAAACTAATTTGTTGCTCCCTCTTGACAGAACAAACCCTAGTAATACAACATTGGCAACACAACATCATTTGTAAAGGAGGGCAAGTAAATAAGCAATGCAAGGTACCTGGCTTATGACAGTTGAATCTAACTTTTCTTTAGGACCATTGATGCAAACATCTAGAAGATCAAAACTGCAAGCAGCTGGAACATAGTTAAACTATAAAGATAATTTTAAAATAAGGGGATAGCATATTATGGATTAAATTTTGGTCAAATATGGTTCTCGTCATGGTACTACACTCAATTTGAGGATTTAGTCTTTATACTTTAATTTACATAATTTGATTGTCTTACTATTATTAATATTTGGGTTTAGTCCAAATACCAAACACTGTTAAAAAATTCTGTTCGTGAGCTGATTTGGAATCTTTAAAAAATAACAACTAAAACTTGACCGTGATTCCTTATACCAGTTAAAAGGTGAAATTATGATTATCAAAGTAGCCATTTTCCACTAATTTATCATTTCAAAAATACAAATCTAACTCATCCTCATGAATTGGATTTTTATTTATTTATTTCTTATAAACTGGTTAACTAATTCTTTTTAACGTTGTTAGTGATTTGGACTAGAGCATATCATGACTAATAGTAAGAGGACTAAATAATCCCAAACCAAAGTACAAGACTAATTCCCAAGTTTTGCGTACCCTAACATATTGTTTGCCTTCTTATATAATTCTGCAGCAGCAGGCACATTCTGCGCTTCTTTTCCCATTCCAACCGCTTGAGCGCCCTGAAATTTTTCATGTTACATATTGGAACTAATACAAAATAGATTTATCCAGGTAAAAGCTAAAAATAATTTTAACATGAGAATAAACAGATTTAGCTTAGTAGAGCTTGAAGTTGTCCAGAATTGATGGATTAAAGAACAAACCTGGCCGGGAAAGAGGAAGGCGGAGGTGGGCTTGTAATCAGCTAACAAGGCATCATCGACGGCAATTTGGGATCCAACGGAGACGCTCATGAAAACCCTGTATCGAGAGGGGTTGTTGAGGCGGAAGCATCGAGAAGGAAGAGGTCCATTGGAGCGAATCGAAGAGAGGGAAGAAGGGAGAGCGAGAGAGGCAGCGGACATTGTGAAGAGAGGGTTGGGATTAGCGGAAGAAGCGAGGCGCAAAATGTGCATGCCAATTGTTTGATTTTTAGTCTGTATTAAATAAGCTTAATGTTGGCGGAGATATCACAATGGTAGACGTTAGAGATTAGCTTGAAAAAAAACCAACCAAACCTCCCCTGCCTACACACCATCTACAATATTATTACCAAACCAAAATTTAATGATACATATACATATTAGTGTGCAAGTTTGTAACATTCATTTTAAACTTTTTACGATAATTTTGTATTATTATGATTAATAATAAGAAAATTAAATTATATGACGATATTTAGAAATAATCGATAATATTTAACACTTTCTACAAGACTTTTTGTTATAGCGTATTTAATTTTATTAAAAGAAAAGCAATATAGAATAAAAGAATATAATTCAACATAAAAATTCAAAAGACCTTAAGATAAATAAAATTAAAACATTTATTTAAATATATGCTTCATCTTTAAAAAAATCTAATAACTATCAATAATCTCCATGTCTCTATTCAAAACTAGACATAATATTGATGTAGTTATGGAGATTGATAATCAATTTGATTATTCTGTTGATCGTTCTCAATCCATCAACAAATTGTCACAAAAGAGATTTAACTATAGAAGACTGTCAATATTTTCTGATCAGGAGGTGCGTTGTGATGAATGTAACACGAAACACCAAACTATCCTAATGATAGAGAAAATCATACCATAAAAGCAAAGGATCAAACGAGTTATAAAAACAGACAAAAATAAATACATCTAGCATATGTAAAAAGCAATAAATTGAAACAAAAAATGTATATTTAGATCTAATTCAAAAGAAATTAAATGAAAATTAAAAAATAGGTGGTACTATGTAACATCCTAAACTACGGGTTAGTGACTAAATTATAAAATTTCAGAATATGGTGATTATAGAATAGTTGAATAGTTTAATGATTTATGTGGAGATATTTCCTGAAAGTTGTTAGTAAATATTAAAGTAGTCAAAGGGCAAATGAGTAATTGAACAAGAAAAATAATTAAATAATAATTAATGGGTATTATAATACCCATGTGGAGAATGATTGAAGAGATAAGCTTCAAAGCAATTCTCTTCTTCATCTTCTTCCCTTCTCCACGTGAAAACTCAAAGCAAAGGTGAGTTCTCTGATTTCTTGATTGTTTGTTGATTTTAAGCATGGGTTTTGATCCTTAGATGATAACTAAGCTTAAGGAAAGCTTAAGTTATCTTAAAATCAAAAGATAAAGGAGTTATGATAGATTAAAGAAAATGGGTTTTTAAGTGAAATTTTGAATAAGAAGGTTTAAATAAATTTGGAGGATAAATTTGACTTGTCATCTATGAGAATAAGAAGTTAGAAGTGTTAGAATTAAGTTTGGATGAAATGGAAAATTTGGTATGATTATTGATTTCTATATGGAGAATAGAATTTTGAGGTTTAAGATGAAATAAATAGATATAAATGAGTTTAAGCATGTATATTTGAGTTAAGAAAATGAAAGGGAATGAAACTTGAAGAATTGAAGTTGAAAGAGTGAATTTTCGTGCAATGAACAGTTATTTATGGGTAGGTGCATCGATGCATTAAGGGGTGCATCGATGCATGGAAATTTCGAAGCTATTTTGTGTACCGATGCACCCATAGTGCATCGATACACTCCTAAAGGAAAAGTTGAAATTTGGTTTATTAAATTAGCTTGAGTTATTAACATCAAGTTATAAGGTTTAAGCTTTTGATAATCATCTCGGAAATTATATTTATGTAGATATCGAGCCTAAACGAGTTACAGAACAATCGAAGAGTTAGGATTGAATCAAAGCAAGCAAGGCTAAGGTGAGTGCAATTTAAATTGTACTTATGTGATTGATCAAACATTGGCTTGCGATGAGCCAATGATAGAGTTACTATGGTAAGAAGTAACTTATAAAATGTTATGTGATTACTATGTGTGTATTAGTACATAGAATTGGATGTATGTTATTATATGTTACATGATTTACATGCTTACGTGAAAATGCAACATATGATATATGTTACTTGATATGACATGCAAGGTTACATGAACAAATGAGAAATGATAAAAGCCATATGAAATTATCTATGTGAATACATGCATTTATGATACGTGTTATATGATACTAGATATATGTTTACACATACATGTGGTATGTGACAGAAGAGAATGAATATGTGATTATGAGATCAATGATTACACGTACATGTGATACGTGACTGAAAAAAAAAGATATGTGTTTATAAGAGAAAGGATATGAATAAGTAATGTGAGCTGTTATAAATGATAATGCCCATGTTATGTGATATGAGAGCTAGGGGTATAGTTGGCATGCCAATGGTCGAGGGTTTACCTATGTTATTCGGGACATATGGACTATTTACCTATGTTCTTTGGGACATATTGACTGTTTACCTATGTTCTTCATAACATATGGATTGATTACCTAAGTTCTTCGGAACCTATGGACTGGTCCTTCGGGATAATTATACGAGCTGTGGTGACAGCATAATAGTGCACAACCTCAATGTACTCACATACCTTAAGTTCTCACTGGTGTACATGGGCTAATAAAGAGATTAAACAAATATACTGAAAGTGATATGCATATGTGATTTATTATATGGAATAAATTGCAGGATTCATGTATTGGTTATATGAAAGCATATATGTTTTAGTTATATGAATTGTATTACATGAAGTATATGGTGTTAAGTGTATTTCTTTATGAAATTATATATGATGTGTATAAATGATAAGTATATGATTATATGATTAAAGGTATTAATGATAATAAGAGGATAATGATAAGGAATAGGATAAACATATATATACATGTGTGGATTTGATATATGAATAGAAATATGATAGTATATGTGCATGTATGTAATTTAATAAATGAAATGTTTTATGATTTTTATTATATGTTTTATATGCCTCACTAAGTCGTAGACTTAGCGTGTGATTGTTTCACGCGTAGGTTTTGAGAAGATGAAGATTGATAAGAGTTATGCAAGATAGGTCAGTTCTCCTTTCCAAAGATCAGATCAGAAAAGAAATGTATAGTATGTATTTTGTAATAATGAAAGTGGTTGGCATGTAAATAAAGGATTAAATCCAATATGTTTTAATCGGTTTTGAAAAGTCATACGATTGAGTTTTGTAATGTTTTAAATGTGTTTATATAAAGGACAATTGTATAGTAATGAACGGTTAAATTTTTACGAGTTTTATGAACGTTTTACGAAAGTCACTGTAGCAGTGCACCGATGCATTGTAGCAGTGCATCGATGCACAATTTTTGCTTCGATTTTTTAATGCATCGATGCACTGTAGCAATGCATCGATGCACTATTACACTGTTCATTACTGTAACATCCTCAATACCGGGTTAGTGATCAAATTGTAAAGTTTCAGAATTTGATGACTAAAGTAGAAGAATGAAATAGTTCAATGATTATTTGAATATATATTGAAGGTTATTTAGTAATTATTAAAGGAAATTAAGGTTTAAATGGTCATTTGACCAGAAAGATTTTTATATTTCTTTTTAAGGTAATATAAACGTGGGAATTTGGAGAAACATCCAGAGTTCTCTTCTCCTTTCTTCTTCTTCATACGTGGGAGAGCAAGGCAAAGGTGAGAGTTTTATTAGTTGATTATTATTTGAATTTTAAGTTTGGTTTTGATTCTTTGGGTATTAAATAAGCTTAAGGAAAGCTTATATGTGATTTAAACAATAAGATAAAGGAATTATGAAGGAATTTGCAATATGAGTTTTAAGATGAAATTTTGATATGGTATGGTTGTTGAAGTTTTATGGATGAATTTGACTTGTCATCAATCTAATTAAGAAGTATGAAGTGTTAGAATTGGAATTAGAACACATTGAAAATTTGGTATGATTTTTGAATCTCATATGGAAGATAGGATTTTGAGGTTTAAGATGAAATAAATGAATATAGATTGGTTTAAGTATGTGTACTAGAGTTAAGAATGAAAAGGGGATGATATATGAAGTGTTTGAGTGGAAATGAAGTAATTTTCGGGTTGAAAATATGATTTATGGGCAAGGGGAATCGGTACCCATTCAAGGGGAACCGATACCCCTTCAAACGAACAACATTTCCAGAATGTCATTAGGGAATCGATACCCCCTTAGTAGGGAACCGATTCCCCCTAAAGGAAAAATGTGCATATTGGTTTAATAAGTTCGTTTAAGTTGCTAGTATCCAATTACAAGGTGTAGGTATCTAATGATTGTCATAAAATGTATAATTATGTATATTCAGAGCCTAACCAAGTTCCGGAATCATTGACAAGTAAGATCGATCAAGGGGAAAGATAAGAGATTGGAATTGACTAGTGAGGCCAGGTGAGTGCATATTCAATAGTATATGATGTGCGATGGAAATAAGACTTGCGATGAGTCTATTTCCTGAAGTGTTACACATGAATTCATGATTAAAGGCATGAGTTGAATATGCATGTATGTATGCTTGATTATATGAATTGATCTGTTCTTTTATGTGCTCTAAGTGATATGACTTATAGGTATTTCTATTATAATGTTACATGATATGTTATGTATGTTAAATGGATTATGTGATGGTATAAGAAATGATATGAAATATATATGTGAAAACAAGTATATGTTATGAGATAAGATCTATGTGATTACATGCAACATATGATATTAGATATATGTTTACACATACATGTGGTATGTGACAGAAAAGAAGGAACATGTGATTATGAGATCAATGATTACACGTACATGTGATACGTGACTGAAAAGAAAAGATATGTGTTTATAAGAGAAAGCATATGAATAAGTAATGTGAACTGTTATAAATGATAATGCCCATGTTATGTGATATGAGAGCTAGGGGTATAGTTGGCATGCCAAGGATCGAGGGTTTACCTATGTTCTTCGGGACATATGGACTGTTTACCTATGTTCTTCGGGACATATGGACTGTTTACCTATGTCCTTCGGGACATATGGACTGATTACATAGGTTCTTCGGAATCTATGGACTGGTCCTTCGGGACATTGATCGAGCT